ATTTCTTCCTACATCTGACAGCAAACACCACTCTGAAGATGGCACCAGATATATATATATATATATATATATATATATATATATATATATATATATAAAGGGGGGGGGGGTTCTGCTGCAGTGAAGAACTCTCCTTTATCTGTATAGCAGTGGTCCCAACCTTTGGTCCTCTAGGTTTTTTGGACTTAGCTTCCACAATTCCTAACCGTTGTTAAACTGGCTGGGATTTCTGGGAGTTTAAGTCCAAAACACCTGGAGGACCAAGGTTGGGACCACTGCTGTAGAGCATCTCTGGAAAGCTACTGCCAGTAGCATTTGGATCACTGACATATCTAAATACAGTATCATCAAATTCATGAAATACCAAAGCAAGAACCATCCGTAACATAGTATGTATTCTTGTGAAAGCTGTATAATGAAGAAAGATGACAACAAAACACACACACCAAACAAGCAAGCAAACAATCCCAAACCCCCAAATCATCTGAAAGGTGGTGGTGGAGAAGAATCCAATGGCTATCAGGGACTGCCAAAAAGAAAAAAGAGCAAATCAAGTCTGAACTCTCAGTCAAAACCACAATGATTAAATTGAGGCTACTATACTTTGGATGCATCATGAGATGACATAACTTACTAATAATTGCTGCTATTGTGTGCCTCCAAGTCCAATTATCACAGAGACAGATCTCCCGAACAGGGGTGATGGGGGCACAGAAAGCAAAATTAACCCTTCCCTATGCTATCCAAAGCATGCATACATACATATATCTGAATTACACTTTAAAAATGTACCTATTTTGACTTACACACAAATTCAGCTTAAGAACAAACTGACAGAACCTATCTTGTTTGTAACTCGGGGACTGCCTGTATTGTTAATGTACTTATTCAATAAAAGAAGACACAGCCTTGGGTTTACAAGACCTGAACGGGGTTATTTATAATAGGGTCTCTTGGAGATCTCTTGTTCATAGATGCCATAAGCTGAAACTGACATAATGGTATGTAGCAACAGAAGGCATTTGACACACTGGGGCACACTGCCCTTCAACAGAACCAAAATTAATATAAGTTGAAAGTAACAAGGACATCCCTTAAAACATGATTAAAATTGTAGTTAGAACTGGGGATTCACATCCGGCATTCATGGAAGCCTTTTACAGCTGCCAGAATGTTAATAGGAATGAATAGATCAGGAATATATTACCACAGCATTATGTTAACTACATTTACCAACAACTTATTTCTTGTTTAAGAAGTATAGAAAATAAATAGCAAATTGTTTAATAATAAAATACATCAGAAGCATGAAAATTCCTTGCTGGCCAAAAGTCTGCAAGGCCTCATGGCAGACTCAGTTCCAGAAAAGATTCAAAACTTATTTTTTTCAGTTTACATTTTTGAAGTTAGACTGATTTTCTACTTCTATATATCTATTCCAATTTTATTCTATTTCCAATATAGCTTGATTTACCACAGGTATGCTTTTTGAGCAACAATTGTTCTATCTCCCAGTACAACCCATACAAAAGGAGAAGGATAAGAAGAAAGAACTTTTTAACAAGTATCGAGGTTTTACATGACAAAACTGCAAACAGAATGAAACCTCCAAAGTGTAAAAGGGCAAATCCTTCGTATCTATGAAAACAAATAAGCTCCTTCCTAGTAAGATTTTCAGTCTGTCAGTTCATTAATACTTTGCTGTACCAGCAGAAGCTGTTCAAAAGCAGCTACCTCTGTCTCCTCTAGATAGCACTGCTTAAGCAATGCTTTTCCATCTGTCTTGGTATAAGAAAGGATGATGGATATTACTTTTATAAAAGGTGACCCCTAAAAGCTTATGTCTAAAAAGAAAATAGGACCCAAGCACATTTCGCATCTTTATAAAAGCAGGAAAGCCACTTTTATTTTTAATACATAGACAGCCAAAGATGAAGCAGCAATAATTTGGGGGAAAATAGATTTGTAGTATTTCCTTGATCTATGAATCCACTGAGAATTGTCAGATTGATTGTAATCTAGATTGTTAAAGAATTCATTTTGAAGACCTGAGACAAATTTCTCTAAGGGCAGATGCAGAGCTACAGGAAGATAGAAACTTCAGTTTGAGCCTAACATGAAGAACATGAAGAAAACAAAAAACAAACAAACCCCATATTCACCCAGAGCTAGCAGGCTTGATGACACGTGGTGACTTCCTGTAAGTATCTGGACTTTTCAGCACTTAGCTCAATTTCCCTCTAAACCAGGCATGGGCAAACTTTGGTCCTCCAGGAGTTTTGGACTTTACGTCCCACAATTCCTAACAGCCAGTAAGCTGGCTGGGATTTCTGGAAGTTGGAAGTCCAAAATACCTGGAGGGGCAAGGTTCGTCCATGACTAAAATAGCAAAGTTGTGGACATTCTGGAGTGTGTGGGGAACTCTGAAGTATCCTTGGGCTTTTGATAATTTGAACAGCTGGATCTGATCCCGTTTAGCTTAATCCACTGTCCACTGCTACCATCTCCCTTTTCCTGCACTGATCATAGGTTGTCTGCATGGTGCCACCACCACTCCTTGTTGGCCATGTCTGTTGTGGTCAGAATGGGGCATCCACATGTTCAACAAGAAGAAGGGGAAATCACTTCACCACCTCCTTGCTGATGGTATAGGTACCCCATTCTGACCTCAGCAGATATGACTGTGATGCCCAAGTGCTCACAGGGCATTTCATAGTCAACAAGGAGGAGTGCTGAAAACAGAGGACCAGGGAATGGCCTGGTAGGTTCAATATGGTCTCTACCTAGTTAGCATTTGTCCCAATGCACGTGGCTGCCATCGCAGTCAATCCTGGACCTGTCTATAGTATAATGCTGCAGATTAACCCCAAATTAAACAGCGAATATAGACAAGGCCTCAATTAGTCTTAAAGATTTAAATAAAACCCTATCACTACTGATCATGCCACAATATTCACAAACAAATGATAAGATAAAAACCAACCTAGCAAATAACAAATAACATCTATATACCTAAACTAAATAATCAATATATGTATTTATGAGACTAGAATACAAATGAACCATATGATTCTGGCCACTCAAATGATACTTATTTTTATCTACATTTTGCACCCTCATGTATTTGGGAGACAGCTCTTAATCAAGAAAGAGATGGGAGAATATCTGTATCACTTTTGCAGCTATGTTGCTGTTCTCCTTTCTAGATTCAGAGGTGCATGGATGGCTTGCCATCCATTTTTCCAGTTGATTACAGCTGGGTAGACATCACCTGTATTTGTCTTGAAGTGTAGAATTAAATCCCTGTGTTCTGATACTGACAAACTCAAGAAAAAAAACAGAAGAAGGGGAAGAAGAGGTGGAGGGAGAGGGAGAAATAGTAGAAGATGAAGGAAAAGGTGGAGTAAGAAGAAGAGGAGGGGAGGAAAAAGAGGAGAAGGAGGGAGGAATAGTAGTGGTGGTAGTGGGAGGGGAAAAAGTGGGCTCAGAAGAAGTGTGACGGTACCAGAGACAGATAGAGAATATATGAAGAAATTAAGAGAGTTTAATGAAGAGCAAGAGCTATAGAGAAATGTGATGAATAAGAGAGAGTTATAACGGGCAGATGAAAATTGTATTCATGAGAAATCAAGAAAAAATAGCAATTAAAATTAGCCACAAAATGCTTTTGTGTGATCAACATTTCAGTGCCACCTGTCTGATTTCATAAAAATGTAAAACTGGCCTTAAGTTGACATTCAACTTAAATATTCAGTACCATATTTGAATTTATATTTGAAAAGATCCAAACAGATAAAATATTGCCTGAAGAAAGGTTAGAGTAGGCTCCTTAAGAAGCTTACAAGCATATCCATGTAACTGTCCCAGTTGTCGTAAATGAAATATTTTCCAAGCTGTTCAAAAAACAAGAAATCAGGATGAAGTCCTTCCACCTGAAGATGATTTAGAAACAATGTGACAGGCCCTAAAGACAGTACCTGGCAGTTTCTTTCCTGAGTAATAGTTAAAATGGAATGATAAGAAGACAGCTCTGAGGTGAAATAACTCCCAACACAAATATAACAACAGTTCCAAGACAGAGTTTTATGCAGATGACATCATTTCAGGAGCCTAAGGGATTATGTAATTTCCAGTATTATCTCTGTGTGTGTGGAGAGGGTGGTATCCATAGTGAATTATTGCATTGTCAAAAGCCCTGTGGGAGGAATATTTGGACCTCTAACCCATATGACCATTGTGATTGTAGAGTTCGGGACTGTTTATAAGTCACTCATCTGTACATACTCTTCTTTATCCCTTCCCTTGTATACCCAGCTTGCACCACTTTCTATGACCATTTTCCAGTGATGTCCAAACTGGGAAACTGTGGTTTAAAGTGTCTCTACAGATCAGTTCTTATTCTGATTTATCGGTTTGTAGAACGCACCACAATCAGTTTCCCAGGTATTATGTCACTGATGGTTTGAACCATGATTTAAGAAACAAGCAAAGCTTTGGTGAAGTAATGAACAAGATGGGGAAATTGAGGTGAAGAGACACTCAGGTTATTCCCAATCCAATGCATCATGTTTACCAGAACAGGATCATTATAATGGAACTGGAACATAGAATGTGAGCCTTCCATGGTATCAGCAATCATAGGAAACTCACGGGACACAAGACCTTGGTCTCTATTTAAATGTTACTTTTTTTACTCCACTGGAAGCAGGATTAATCAAATTCTGAACTATGTGAGGTGGGAGAGGAGAGTGTGCAATTGTCCTACAAGGGTAATATTAGTAGTGCCATTCACTTTGGAACCCATACTATGTTTCCATAAATCAAGAGTTTTGATGGGATGGTGCAACACAAGACAGAAAGCATAATACCTTTCTCTTCTGAGACCAATCAAAATGTTACTGGCCTTGTCAGGCCTAGTGATATCAGACCTAGGAGCTCTTTCTCCCACTCTTTCCCACCCATTAACATCTTCCCACTAAAAGGTACATTTAAAGATGTACCTGTGCTGTTGCTTGCAAACAAAGTGCCAGTGGCTGTGTTTGTGGGTAGCTTTCCATTATTCAGCTGCTTTATTCTTTTCAGGTGAGACTTTCCATTGTAATGAACCTGAGCTTGAGCTGCTGAGTTCAACTGGATATTGCACACATCACAAAAAGAAAATAATATCTTCTTTTTCTCTTTACTTGATTGATAGTCTGGCCTATCATGCCTCAGTCCTTTTTCCTCAAGGCTCCGCAAAAATATTGCTGGATTCATAATTCCATCTCTAAAGATGTGGTCAGAACTCACGGGGTGCTTCATACCTATGAAACAGAAAAGGAAAAGAGGTGACTCAGAAAGTATACCGAGGTCAAAAACCAAATAAACAAGGGCATTGAAGTCAGCATTCTCCTTCATGCACCTATTACTTTACGTGCATCAAAAGATGCAATTCAACAAATCATAAAATACAAAAATAGTACAAGCTGTATTGCCCAGAGTTTTGCAGAAGCTGCTGTTCATGCAGAAATATATAGCTGTGACACAGACCACAATTTAATGGTGAATAAAAACTGAGAGCACACATCTCTTGCACTCAACATTCCTCATTACTGTGTCCCAACGCTTACAGAAGGATTTGTCCCCACACTCACCCCTGGAAACACAGACTTTCACAAGGGTTCCCAATTTATTTATTACTGTCGTTTGCTTTCCTCTTTATATTGTGGGGAGCTGCCTAAGATAATCAGCAATATATTGAAGGCAACTGGCATGTTTCTCCTCATTCAGCTCTCCACATTCACTGGAGTTAGGGGCACAAGACCTCATGAAAATGATAAAAACTAGGGATTTCTAGAGATAACACAACTCTAGATATTTTAGGTCATCCAATGTAATTCTGTAGACAGCTTCCAGTGAAAGTCAACCATACAGTCATGCTGGAAGACAGACATTTCTAGAGATGTGTTCTCTCAAGGCAAAAAGAAAAGCTATTTCTTTAGTCACTGTTTTTCACTTTCACTGGGTTCCAGTGCCTCTATCCCCAGCACATTAGAGGGCTGACTATTATAACTTTTGTCTGGTATTTCTTGGTTACATGATTCCAATCTTTCTAATGTTGGATGGTTTTTTTCATGTGCGACTTGAGAAACTACAAGTTGCTTCTGGTGTGAGAGAATTAGTTGTCTGAAAGGATGCCCAGGGAATGCCCAGATGTTTTACCATCCTGTGGAAGGCTTCTCTCATGTCCCCGCATGAGAAACTGAAGCTGACAGTCGGGAGCTCACCCCGCTCCATTGCACCACCAGGGGCTGGTGTTAGAGGGTGTGAAGTATTAATGAGTTCTTATTTAACTAAAAAAGCAGCACCAGGGGGAGAGGTTCATGTTCAGAAAAATAATCTCTCTCTTTACTTGTGCATATTCCAATCTAGATTTTTCACTCCTACTATCCAGGTGGAAAAATACTACTCAAAAAACTATCTCAAAACTGACAGATCAACCTTTTACAGAGCGAACAAAGAAACAGACAGCATAGTACAGAACACAAAAGGACTAGCCCAAAGGTAATTCAACAATATATTCCGTGAAATGTTATACCATTCTTCTGCTTATTAAGTAAATTAGTTTTTAAAGCTGTATCCCCAGAGCATACCACCATAGCATTTTTCATAATAACTGCACATATGCAGCTACTATACCGAAAGCCTCCAAGTATTATTTACTATGATTATTGAAAAGTTGTGCTATTTTAATGCAATTCACAATTTGATATAATTCATCCCAAAAGACAAAATGCAAAACAAGTAAAATCATCCTTAGGAGTAAATGAAGGGAATGCACCTGATGAAGATACTGAATATTTTTATCATATTGTTAAATGACAGGTAGGCACATTATGTTGGTTGTCTCTTGTAACATCACTTATGCACTGCCTGAGATGGCTGCCTATTAATAAGTGAACCCCAGACAATCAGAAATGAAGCCACAATCAAAAAATGCAGGTGATATAACATTTAAAGAAAGTGCAAAAGGAAGCTGACCAAATATTCAAAATATTCATTTGTTCTAGAGCTTAAAATTAGAATAGATTCCCCTCCTAACTAAACAGAAGTTGTTGAAAGGGAAAAAATCAACTTTTCTCATAAAATACAACTTGACCTTTAGCACTTTTCTGTCATTAAATAAAATTATTGTAATGACTACTTTGCACTTATTTTTAGCCTTGGATATTAATTATATCCACAAGAGCCTACTGGAATTGATTTCTATGCCGCAGAACCACCCTAGATATTAGTTCTTATGCAGAAAAACAACAGCCGTTATTTTCTCACATTCCCAATCATACCCATCCCACATTGTTTTATCTCCTGGACATTTGTTCCATGAAATTGAAGTACCCTAAGAATTATAAAGGCCTATATGGTCTGGGTCTAGACCATACGAAACGCCATAATCTCCTTCTATGCATTAGTGTAAATTCTGAAATTTGAAAAAGACAGACTTTTACTGTCTTCACAGGAACATTTGGTGAAAACATCAGAGGTCCCTTCCACACAGCTGAATAAAATCCCACATTATCTGTTTTGAACTGAGATATATGGCAGCGTGGACTCAGATAACACAGTTCAAAGCAGATATTGTAAGGATTTTTTGGCTTGATATTCTGGGTTACATGGCTGTGTGGAAGGCCCCTTAGACTTCTTTCTCTGTAGTAGATTCCAGGCTGTGAAATTTCCAAGGCAGGATAGTTTGGCCACTTCTCTGCTCTCACCTGTCAGCAGGAAAATTCATTTTTACTGTGGTGGTGCAGTGTGTTAAACCGCTGAGCTGCTAAGCTTGCTAAGTGAAAGGCTGCAGGTTCAAATCCAGGGAGAGGTGTGAGCTACTGCTGATAGCCCCAGCTTCTGCCAACCTAGTAGTTCGAACACATGCAAATGTGAGTAACCAATAGGTACCGCTCAGGAGGGCAGGTAACGGTGCTCCATGCAGTCATGCTGGCCACATGACCTTAGAGGTGTCTACGGCTCTTCGGCTTAGAAATGGAGATGAGCACCACCACTCGGAGTCGGACATGACTGGACTTAATGTCAGGGGAAATCTTTACCTTTAGGCTTTGGTCATTAAATGGTAGTTGCAGAAGTTTATTTCAATTGATTTTCTGTAACTTCTGTTAAATACTTAAACACTTTTAAACCTTTTTAAAATTTAGTGCTTGATTTTAATGTGATCACTTCTTTATATAGTTGCTCTTTGATCTGAACATTGATTGCGTTTAGGCAATATAGTGTTTTCATTTATATTCAAAGCCACATTAAGTTCTGTCTTTGGGGAAAAGCAGTATAGTAAGGAGGTAAGTAAATAGCACTTGACTTTTTTTTTCAACACACAATCCAAACAGATAAGCTGAAGAAAACTGACACAGGCAGGAAGGCAATAGCTCGACTCAGTAGTAAATTAAGCGGTTTTGCTGTACCTCTATTTTATTGTAGTCTCCCACTTACCCTGGGAAAGCAATTTATGAATAGTACTAAAATAATGAGCGCCAATGTGGTATAGTGGTTTGAGTGCTCTACTAGGACACTGGGGTTTCTTCTAAACTATCATATAAAATCCAGATTATCTGCTTTGAACTGGATTATATGGTAGTGTAACCTCATAAAATCAGTTCAAAGCAGATAATGTGCATTATCTGCTTTGATAATCTGTATTATATGGAAGTGTAGAAGGGGTGTGAGAGACCAGGAATTGAATCCCCACTTGGCCATGGAAACCTACTGGATGACCTTGTGCAGGTCACACACTATCATCTTTAGAGGAAGGCAAAGGTAAATTCCCTTTGAACAAATTCTGCCAAGAGACTCCTGGGATGAGATCACCTTAGGATAGCCAGAAGTCAGAAATGACTTGAAGGCACACAACAACTGTTAAAAAAATATAGTGTGGAAGCAAACTGCATGAAGAGTTGATTTTTTTCTTCTCACCACTCAGCATAGTCACAGAAAACCTCTTTGGGTGTCTCAAATCCCTTGGAGTAATTCTCTATAGAGCGTCGTATTCGATCTGCTGTTTCCATCCATCAGCGACTTTCCACACCACAAAGTCCCTTTGCCGGTTTCACCATCCCAGATTCTTCAGCACTCTCTCAAAGAAAAGCACTTTATGCCCTTGACATTTCTAGTTGTAATCTATGCCTTTAACAAATTTATGATATCACTTTTGAAATGGAGTAACAGGAATTGTACATAGTATTCTAAATTTGACCACACCATTGATTTATAAATTTAATATTCTGTTATATTTGCTGTTCTTAGCTGGAAGAACCAGAAATAAAAATACCCGAAATGAGCTAAACTTGCATTTTCTGTTCTTGCCGTGCAAGTCACGATGTCTTATCAGTGGGCAAATGTGTCCGACAACTTGAAAGGCTATGGCAGTTGTAAATGTTTAAAAATGCAGTTCTCTTTTAGTTTTTTTTATTATATTCAATTTTGTAAGTATTATACTGAAGATATAAAAATTGATGTCAGTATGTCATAGAATGTATCTGAACCAGTTCAGAACTGATGTTAACGAGTTATTAAATCATTTATTGTAACAAGGACTAGAAGCAGCATTGTATGGAGAATTATAAGTACATATGGCCATTGATGTATAATGTTTTCCTGATCACAAAGACTAAAATATTTGAATGAAATCTCAATACTCTCAAAAAGTAACAATGCCCAGATTCTTTGGGTCACTGAAAATCAGGACAAATGATTGGAAAACCAGTGTTATTCATAATTGCATATGAATTCCACCCTTTGTCTACAAAGTTCACATATGATATTCCACCACTGACAAAGCAAGTGTTCCAGCTAACCTAGTGAAGAAGAGTTTTAAACTTGAATTACTTGGTCCTATTTTGGTGGATAAGAACTGAAATTCTGAGCAGACATACCATTATATTTGTATAGTAGATAGGCAAACTCCAGCCACTAACGTTCAGACCCTCATGGACTTTCCACCAACCATCCAATTTTGATTTTAAAATCTCTTGGGCAGGGCTGGGGGGAGAAGGAGCAAGGCATGGATCTTTGAAATCAGAGGCATCTAATAGTAACCATTTTTTAAAAAAGTCAACATCTTTTTCGTGGGAGTGACTCCATAAGCCACAAATGCAATATGGAGCACAGGATTGCTAACCCTGATGGTAATACTACAGTTTAAATCAACTATGAACTAAATATGTGGAGAAGGGACTGCACAAGTCAAAATATTGCTGCTGTTTGCTAGCTTAATGCATAATTAATAGTGTTATATGTGGAAAATGGTAAATTCAAT